GGATTTTGCCCCAGGGCCCGCATGACATCCCCACACTGGTTGTAGCTGATCTTCCCATCTCCTGTCCTGTCGAACAGCAGGAATGCCTCCTTAAACTCTGCAGGACACACAGACACGTGATCAATTAAAGTATGAACATGAATTATTCAAGACGAGATGTTCATGAGTATGAGCAGAAATGATAAAGAGATAGGAAATGAACTGGAAATGAAAGCGGAAAAGCAACGGATCGGAAAAGAACATGAGAACAAGCAGACTAAAGAAAGATCCTGATTAAGACTAAATTGTAAACTTACAAGTTATCTGGCAAAACAGACAGGATGCAAAGCACCAAACTGACAAACCTGCCCAGCTTTTGTATGACACTCAACGCATGAAAATGTTAGCCAGTCTCGCTAAGATAACTGATCATATTGCGAAAACTTACACTTTACACAAATGAATCTTTGGTAAAGTGTGGTGCAAAGTTCAAAAAAACAAAAACAAACAAACAAACAACAAAAAACCAAAACACTATCTGCACACCATCTGATGATACTGCAACCATCACTTCCTCAAAAACTCTTTACTACAGTTACAGTCGATTTACTGCAGTTAACGCCTGCATTTTAAGGGTTTGTGCATTTCCCACCTAAACTAATTCATAAGTTGTGTTCATTCTTAAACAAAGGTTAAAAAGACTCAAACCTGTATTAAGGCATCAAAAGCAGGCAAATCTCTCTAACAGGCAGTGACGTGCTTAGTAATATTAATAGAAAACAAATGCAAAAAAAACTCAATTCAGCCAACCGCTGCAAAAATGTTAATCGAATAACAGTTTCAGTTAAGCTTCATGCTGATCTAGTATCACCTCTAACAACCTCTAGTAACTTTTGGACACACTTTTAGCTTTGATCAGACACAAAAGGCCATCTAGCACAATAGTCTTGGAGGTAGCTTTTGGAATATTTTCTTGCCAATGATCGGAGGAGCTTCATTTAACACCATCACTGTTTGGTAACTCCACATATTAATATTGTATACTACTAATGAATAGTTAATAAACCTCTGAGGCACCTAAACCTTCTTAAGCCTTTACATTAAAAAGTATTGAGCATCTTTGTTGCTGCTCAAGTGGAGTCAGCTTTATCAACTGTCAATGATCTAAAATCAGCCATTCTACAGAGTCAAACAGTGAAATAAATGCTTGCCTAAGCTCCAGCAATCAGGGAGACACGGAGCATGATTACACAACATCCGGGCAGCAGGCTGTTCCTAATGTTATAGAAAAAAATACCCCCCCCCCAAAAAAAACAACAACAAAAAAAAAAGGCGTAGGCACTGTTGTGGAGTTTTTTTCCAGTTCTGAGGAATGTCTCTCTTCCTTTCTCGCCTGCGAGCACTTTTCCCAGCACCATATTTGGTTATTAGAGGAGTGGAGAGAAGGAGGAGGAGAGTGAGAGTAGCTCTGGCCTATTATGTCAGCTATGATTAAACAAACCAGCCCTAGGACAAAACCCATCCACCACTTTATCCAGCACCAAAAATGGGCAGAGTGGAGATGAGCTATTTGGAAGATAACAGGCAAAGTTTATGGTACACTGACAAAAGCGGGAAAGCCTGCGCTCTAACAGAACAAGACTTGTGAGAGCAAATATGGACTCTGGCCATGATTGGCTTTTCAAAACTTCTTTCAAAACAAAATAAGCCAAAACAAAACTGCAACACACATCAAGGCCGGTGAGTAGTACAACATTATGTGCAACTATGGCTGACTTTGACGTACCAAACACCAGTGCAAAGCGGCTATCGTACACATTTACGACAGACTTGGCTCCACAACCGACATGCAGATCACACCCTAAAACACTCCGAGATGGCCATCAGTTTAGTGTAAGGCGTTCCCTTTACAATGACTTACCATGAATCTGATCCAGGTTAAATTCAATCTGGAAAAGGACAAGCAGTTGCAAGTGGAAAAAAAGTGATGAAACAGTACGAAAATATAAAAAAGGAGAAACAGAAGGAAAACTTAGGTCTAAGGCCACGACTGCTACTGCTGCTGTGGCGGACGGAGGACTTAGAGCAGGATGATAGTGGAGGTACAGGGCAAAGTGTCATCTGGAAAAAGCACGAGTGAAAGAACAAACAGGAGAAATACGATGGACATGCCACAACACAAAAGCAAGACTCACCGAGGATTTGATCTTCTGAGAAGTCAGACTGTTTAAAAAGAAATTAGGCTACATGAAAATGGTTCCTTAAAGCTGTGCAAAGCTCGCTCGCGTTTACGT